TGCTACCTCAGCAGATCGAAAACGGCAATTACAAAAACTCAAATCGTCCTACCAATAAGCACTCGCATGAGGATTTGGATGCGAGCAGCGAAACTCGCAGTCCTGCGAAGGTACCGGATTTTTTGCCCCAGCGAGATTTCGGCACCGCACACGCTTATCAGCTTTGATTCAACATCCAGTTCCTTACTGAGCATCATTACCCCCGTAATTTCCTGGCCTTTTCAGTTAATATCTCCATTCCTCCTCCACCCCCTCGTCCATCAGTAAAGGCCTCCTGACTCCGCCACAAGACGGAGAACATCACAATTATCGCAAATCGCTTCCCAACCAGTCCTAACCGAATCGAGCCGAGCCCTGTTATAGCAGCTGCCTCCCGAGCACATGTTAAACAAATACTGTTCAGGAAGAACGATATGCGTTTCCTCTTCCTACATCTACAGTACACCCTGTCCAGTCCCTGTGTCAATTTTCACAAATTCTGCTATTTTTGCAACCAGTGCCGGCTTGATGATAAAACAAGGGTCAACGGCCAGGTACCGCAGCCAATCCCCGAAAAAGCGTCAGATTGGCTAATCAATCCAAAAATAATGAGCAAGGCAGAAAGAGGAAAGCTGACTAGCGATGGGAAGTGAGAAGTCTTGCAACTGGACAGTTCCCCGACATTGTGTGAGAAGAGGAAGGAGACAATTTCTCAAACTTCTTCATCCACAAAAGTGACTGTAACATCTTAAAGTAAAAATGAGCAACAGCACGCAGGGAACAGCCCGAATCTTTGCTATAAACTGCTGCAAGCTAACAGTAGTCGAGAGCACCAAGTTCCTGATTTGGGACCAAAAGCTAAAACCGGACTGCCTTTGATTCCAGATATAAATGCGGCCGGAAATGGTGCCGCCCACGCAATTTTGACTGCTCCAGAGCTGAAGTATGACACATACATGACTTTGCCCTATTGTGTTTTCGCACTGTATCAGTGGTATACAAGCGTCTAAAAAGCCGAGAAAAGATATGCTTATAATTCCAATCTTCTGCTGCACCACTGCCATAACATACAGTACGCATCGACACTTTCAGTGTAAACATAAAATACTAAGCTTGCTGCAAATTAATGAAACCCACCGAATCATACAAATCTTCTGCAAATATCGGTATCACAACCATGTCAGCAAGCGGCAAAGAATGTACGAAATTTTAAAAAAATTAATTTGGTGGAAGCAATATCTGAAGGACAACTCAAAACCTCATCGCCCCCCAAGTTCCTCTTCGCCATATCACACTATGATCAGAACGTGCACAATAACGCATTCTTACCGATGGGTGCAATAGAAGTATTGCTTGCTGGTGACTTCAGAGGCGAAGTTGGAGGAGCAGTGGGTGGCGCAGGAGCTTTTGACAGATTCTGCATTGGTGAACTGGGAGAAGTGGCGATAACTGGTGTCAGCGGAGCACCTGAAAATGACACATATATTCAATGCAAACCTCACGAGAAACGTTCAACGCGCCGGAAGACATTCAGGAAAAATGCCATGAGGGAAAAATTAAATGAGTAACCGCGTCATTCTGTTGAACTACATCAGCACATTCACGCGCACTTCTCTCTAAGGCAAAGATCACATCCAGATTAACTTACCAATCTCATGCACCAACAGCACAACCAAAACCTTCCAAGACCGTCCTGTTGCTGATTCGCCGCTGTCCAGATGCCCTGTTTTCGTATGTCAGTGCAAAAGCGCCACGCACATCTGCCCAAAATACGTGCCTTCGGTTTGTGGATACTGACCCCCCTAATGGACACACCTATCTTTCCCGAAACGTCATTTTTTCTCCCAGCAGATATCAGTGCTAGTTGCCCACTGATTTTTACTTTCCTGCACATTCATATCGATATCTTCTTCATCCTGCTCCTTTGACAGACAGTCCGAGTGTGTATAGCGAACATGAAAAGACACTCCAAGCATCCTTCTTTCCATCGCTCCTATCCGTCACAGCTAGCGTCTGCATTTCTGCTTTTGCCAACAACCACGTTTTATATCCACACACACACACACACACACACAACGTGTAAAAGTCCATATCAGAGTTGGTGGAAGAATAAAACAGTGAAGCAAATTTTCAAGAAAATGAAAAAAGGCAAGAAAAACCCACCAAGAACATTTGCTGGCTGCGAACGATTACCAATTACCCCCGCGTTTGGCATAGCCAAGACTGTAGCAACTGATTTCTCGGGAGCAACTGGTGAATTCTGGGTTACAAACTGTCCTTTGAGCTTTGGGGCAGGAGGCGGCTTCGGTACACTGATTTTCGGCAACTGCGAGAGTGTTTTTCCAGCCTTGATTTGTTCAATCTAGAAGAGAAGCAAATTATTTCACCACTTATCAACCGAGAGTATTGATGAAATACAATGAACTGTTTCGTCTGTCTGAAAAAAAGGGAAAGTCAGTGAATGCAGAACAAACTGATAACTTATAGGCGAAATCTGCACAGATTTCGGATTCAAAAACAAACTAGAAGGGGGCCACATTATCGTTTCCAGGGACTTCGAAAGTG